GGTAGGGCCCGCACTTTTAGCTGGGTAATTCTGGAGGGCTTCCTGGAGAAAGGGCCTTGGAGCTAAGCTTTGAGGGATGGGTAGGATTTAACACATGGACATGGAGAGCGGAAGGGCAGGGACCCAGGTGCAGCAAAGAGCACTAGCAAAGGCTTCAGGCAGCAAGAGGCTGTTTGGCCTGGGTGGGTGGAGCATGGAGCCAGAGGAGGGAGGAAGGGGGGAGGCAGAATGAGAGGCAGATTGGAATCAACTCCTTGGCCCGCCTATCAGAGGTATTCCTCTCAGTCCAAAGACCGTCTGGAGGTCTGGTCTCCAAGAGACCTCCATGAAGGAGAAATGTCCCAGGAGGGCTCTAAACTAAGGATTGCTATCTGGGCCTCAGTTTCCCATCTGTAAAGAGAAGGCCTTCAGTGACTTCCCAGGGAATAGGACATGGGATGGGTATTTCGTGGGAATGTGGGCAAGACAGTGGGGTGAAGCACCATGATCTAGAAATGGCATGAAAGGAGGGACAGGAGAGGCCAGCCTCAGGCTTCGGAAGTGACCGAGCACCCGGCCAGTGGATTCTGATCCCCCTCCTGGGAAGGGCAGGTCGGCTGGAGCAATGTTCCTGAGCGGTGGGCAGGCACTGGCTAGGTGCCGCCGCCTGCCCACTCCCCCGCCCACCTGCCGGCCCACCCCTGAGTTAAGCAATCTCCATTATCACAGATGCCTGGCATTTTTGCCTGGTAATTACAGCTCCAGCAGCCCCACGAGGATTAGGGCGCGATTAGGGAGCAGGGAGGACTCTGGTGGGTGGAGCAAAATACCTGCAAATAGACTTGGCAGCCTGATTACCTCCTGCAAGTTTCAGGATCCTGTAAGGGCTCGATGGCCGATGGCTGGTAAGGATGGTAAGGGCCTCCAGCAGCAAAGGCCCTCAGCGTCTGTCACCTCCAGCCCCTCCTCGCCTCTCCACTCATGCTGCCCTCCCCGGGAGAACCACAGCAGCCCTCCAATGTGCCCCTGCCTCCACTGCACATGCAGAGAGAAGTCTGAACAGAGCTCTCAGCAGCCCTTGTCTCTGGGAAACATCCCAGCCCCAGGCCCCTGTCTAAGGCCACCCCTACCCGCCACTGCCTCGTCTCCCAATCCTCCGCCCTTCCCACTCTCTTGTCGCCCCCATGAGACCTACAGACATCATGGACTGCCGTGGTCTCTTGGCTCTCAGGGTTCCCTCCACTTGGAATGATCTTCCACCCAAGTCTCCACTTGTCAAACCCTGCCTATCCTTCAAGGCCCCAGGTCAGACCCTGCTACCTCCGAGGAGCCTCTCCTAGCCCCCATGGGAAATATCAAGAGCAAACACATATCAATGCGCCAGGCCCTATTCTGCACGCTTCACAATATCGATTCACTTAATCCTCCTGCCAGCTCTAGGAGGTGGTAATTTCATAGATGAGGAAACTGAGGCCCAGAGAGCTTGTGTCAAGTGTTCATGGCCACCCAGGCAGGAGGCAGTGGGTCAGGACTAAACTCAGGCCCTTTGTCTCGACACAGCTTCTTCCTCGGCACGCCCACCTGGCACCTCTCTCACACGTCCCTTCAGGATCTCCTGACAGAGACGGCTTCTGTTCTCCCACACTGTCACCCCACAAGATCAAGCTCTGGAGCAGAGCTTCTCCAACGTTAATCTGATTTGCCTGAGGGTTTCCTTAAAACGCAGATTTTAATCCAGTGGGTCTGGGGTGGAGCCTGAGGTTCTGCATTTCTAAGAAGCTCTTGGATGTTGTAGATGCTGCGGTGGAAGGACCACATGTGGAGTAGCGAGGCAAGAGTCTGGACTAGAGCAGGAAAGCGCTCCTGGTGCCATCGGTTGCTTAGCAGAGCTGAGGGCCTGTGGGAGCCTAAGACTGCCCTTCACGGCTCCCAGGAGGATGGGCCCACGTCTGCCTCTTTTCCACCGCTGGTGCTCCGAATGGGCTGGGCCCCAATCCCTGACTTCCCTTCAGCCCACACATGGCAATCTGGGGAGCAGTCAGGTGGGGTCTGTACGCATCCCTACCTTAGGATAACCCCCAACGCCCTTCCAAGCCGTGACCCAGCTCTGTCCCCCAGAGAATTCTTGCAGCTCTTCTGGAAACTGCTGTTACCTGTGCCTCCGCCACGTAGAACTTACAGAGAGTGATGCAAATGGTTCTGCCAACATTGGCCCATTACACCCTCTCGCCATGAAAGAAGGTGAAGGAAGCTGACGGGGGGGAGGCCAGTAGCTGTTGAGGGCTTTCTGGAGAGAGGCATCAGTGTGCTGGGATCCCCATCTCCCAGCCATGGGGCCAGGAGGGTGCATCTCGTCTCCTAAAGCCAAGTGAGGGAGGCTTTAGGCAAACCGCCTGAAAGCTTGTCATGTGTACCCCACAGTGTGGGATGGTCCCTGACTCCCATCTGGGGACAGTGGGATGTTGCTGCTCCCAATGGGTGGCTGAGCAGACAGACAGGCTGAGGTGGGAAAGGTCTGACCTCCAGAATTTGGGAGGCAAAAATGCGTTGGTGCTTTGTGTGGTTCAAATGTGTATCCTACAGAAGGAAGACTCCGGTCTTCTTAAAAGGGGAAGGAGGGAGACATACTCCAGCAGAAGCTGGGTGGTGGCAGGTGCTGGGAGCTGCCATAAGCAGCAGCCAGAGGATGAGTCGCCTGACTGGGGAGAGATCCCTAGTGATCCCTGGAGATCCTCAGCGACCCCCCTAAGAGCAGGGGGAGGGGGAACTTTCCAGTGATGAGCTGATGAGCGAATGGAGTTAAGTGGCCATGAGACCGGTCTTACTGTTCACAGTGCAGAAAAAGCAATGGACCCAGCCTGCTCTTTCATCCAGAAACCAAGAGACAGCCAAGGGAAAGAGAGAACCTAGTGGAAAGTAAGAAAGAATAAAGCTGCTTCTGCCTCTTACCCCACCGAGGTCTGCTCGTTCAATAAACTGCGCCCTGGCGCTGTGTCTGTGGTGGGCAGAGGTGGAGCTGCCGAGCCCAGATGCAGCCCTAGAGGCCACTCAACTATAGGCATGGGTCTGAACCTTTTTGACGGACAGCAGGAGGGGCGGTCATTCCAAGCCCAATGCCATGAGGACAGCTATAGACCCTCTCCCCAGAAAGTTACACATATGCACATGTACACAAAGATTTCAATATAAGTGGAGGGGCTATGGACCCTCTGAAGCCCACCCCAGTCTCCCCAAAGAACCATGCACCCCAATGGAGAACGCTCACGTGCAAGGAGGCACGGGCCTGCGTTTCATTCTTGCAGGCTTGGCGCCAGCACCGTGGGTTCATTCTAGTTTCTGGGTCTGGGAGAGGGCGGTGCTGGGATTTGCTCATCTTAAATTCCAGGAAACCCAGGCGAGGGGCGTCAGACGGCACGTGTACCTGCGTCTTGGCTTCGAGAATAATGCTTTTGTAATTTGTTGGAACCAGTCTTCTCAAGCAACGCTGGGAATATTTTGATTTCTCCAGCCCTGCCAATGGGACTCTGGTCAGGAGGTTAAGTGAGTTTCATTGAAAAGACACACTTTTCCTTCCCGGGCTGATAAACAAGGCTGCTGCGGGGAAACCGGCTTCCTCCCCCGGGCGCTCAGCTGGAGCAGCCGGGTCCCGGCCAAGGAAAACAAATGCATAAACATTTTGGGGACATATAGGAAGCATTTCTGCTGGACGCCTGCTGTGTGAATGGCCACTGGCGTTTACAGAGCAAACCCCGCTGGGGCCTCGGCACAGCCTGGACAAAGCACTGCCGGCCCACTCACTTCCCTCGCGGCTCCTCCCTGCCTCTCCCCAAAGACCTGCTGTCGTCGGGCCACGAGAGCACAAAACAGTCTCTACAGTTGTCACCTCCAAAAGCCAGCTTGCCCGCTGCATGCCTAGCACTTAAAGAGAAGGGGTCCCCCTTTCAGCCAGCGCTGCCGAGGGAACATAGACCCCCAGCTGCTTGTGTCCTGAGCCCAAGGGGCACACACAGAGGCTGTGGACCAGCTGCCGTCCAGGGTTAATGACTCTCCGGGGCCTCTCCTTAGGCCAGGGCAGACTTGGGAGGAGCACACGCCCTGGTCCCCGTGTGAAAACACCCACCACTGCAGAGCCACTCAGAGTCACAGCCCCAGCGCTCACTGGGCACGGCAGGGGCAGGCGCCGGACGGGGCTCCTGAGGGCTCTGCCATTACGTTGCTCGTAGCTTCTCACAAGGACAGCCACGTGACAGAGGCTCCTGGAGGCCAGGGCACCCTGGCCCAGCCCCTCTTTGGCAGCCCTATGCAGAGGGGTCCTTAACTTTGGTTTCCGACATGACTCTTTCCTTCTCTGGTCGTCTTCTTCTTCACCAGCCTCCCCTTGCATTTCTATACTTCCTCATCTTCCTTTTTGAAATGTGTAGGATATAAATTAGTGGAATGAAGGGGGCTCCAGCTGCACAATTTCCCTTCACGAGTGATTGTTTTTCCGTTCCCACCTATCCCATCCTTGCTCTGGAACGCGAGGGTCTCCACAGGCCTGGCCCACCCACGTTTTCAGCCAGTTCTCTTGGCATGTGCCCCACTGCAGCCACATGGGGGGACAACACCCAGTCCCTCTGCTCATCTCCATCATACTGCCCTACGGGGCCAAAAGGCCCCTCCCTAGAAGGTTCTTTCCCCCATATCCACTTGCCCAGGTCCTGCCTACCCTTCAGAGCCTCATGACCATCCTCTTGGGGCCTCGCAGGGGGTCTGCCCTGTGGGTTTGCAGGGGGGCCTGAGTTACTCCTGGTCAGCACAGCTTATGGATCCTGGTGCCTTAGACCTGGGGCTGATCCATAGAAGTTGGGCTAGACCAGAAGTCTAGCCAGGGACACCACGGGATCAGGGTGATGCCCTAGCCCACAGGTCTCCAGGGCTCTGGGGCCCCTCCACCCATCATCGTCCCCACCCAGCCATGAATCTCGCAGAAACCCTGCTTCCTTTGTGGCAACAGAACAAATGAGTCTTGGCCCTCAGCATGGGTTTGATTCCTGTTTTATAGAAAGCCAACTGCCAGAAATAATGAGTGCTCAGGGTCCCTGCGCCGAGGGTCTCTGGGCCGACTGTATCAGAGGCTCGGCGAGGGGACAGCCCAGTGGGGTACAAAGGAGGGAGGCAGACAAAAGGTGGCAAAGGCCCTGCTGGCCAGCCTCCTTCCAGTCCTTGGCAGTCACAGCTCAGCCAGGAGGGAGCTGCACCTCAGCACCCCCGACCTTCACCACAGTCCAGGGGGACCCTTCGTGGAGGCAGCAGGGAGGTGCTGGATGCTTCTGCAGCAGTGCGGGCCCAGGTGAGGTGACACTCTTCTGAGAGACTTGTCCCTGACACCTGGGGCTCAGCTGTCACCTGCAGTGATGAGTGGTGAGCCATAGGGCTTACCCACATGAAGGGTCACAGGATGGGGTCTGAGCCGTTCCAGTTCACCGACGCCCCCTTCCACCTGAGAGCAGAGGAGCACAGAAAGGGAGTCAGAGCTGCAGGGCCCATGAGGGAGCCATCACCTGAAGTTCCTGTCTCAGTGGCTTTGAGATGTCAGGTTCCACCCTCCCCACCTCGCCCCAGCCCACTCACACACAAACCTGCACACCAGGCTCTTATGAAACACAAATGCACCCAAGACCCTGGAGAGCAATGGAGGAGACAGAAGTGACAGGTCATTCATTTATTCCTTCCTTCATGCCACAAGAGTTCACTGAGAATCTCATTTGCACCTGGCATGGCAGGGCCCTCAGCCGACGTGAGTGATGCACACACATCAGAATCCAGCTGCTTTCCAGGGGTGCCTAATGGGGGTACTGTAAAGGCACATGGGAAGACCTAAATACGGAGACATCCTGGAGTGTTCAAGGTGCAGAAGGAGGTCCAGGCACCGGAGCCTAGACAAGTAAGGAGAGAGGTGCAGCACAGGGTGGGCAGCAGATGCGAGCGGCGCCGCACGGAACCTGGGGGGCCTGGTAAGGGTTCTGGGCTTTGCTCCAAGAGCTAGTGAAGGGCTGTGAGCAGTTCAGCAAAACACAGATTTGCATTTTTTTAAAAATTACTTTATGAAGCCTTAAGAAGCACGGAGTATAATTAAACTGTAGTCCAGGGTTAGATACAATTTAATAATAGTTCCATTGCAAAATGAAAGTTATTACAGGTGAGACCATGAAATTTCCCAACACTTGAGTTTAATACATGGCACTGTTTCCTAAAACAACTCGGAGCAATCACATTTATAGAGGAGGGAATATTTCTGTAAAATCTGGCATTAGGTGTATTACACATTACCATATATCCTCAGACTGTATGAACTAGGAAACACGCATTGCGTACCTCACAGCAGGACTAGGGAGCAGAGGCTGAGCTGGTGTTTAGAAATGCTTTTCAACGTGTGGGGTTTGGGGAGGGAGAAGATGTTTTCAAAACCTGAGGTTTTTCTTCAGGACTGAAGTGAAAATGGTAACTGTCACAGACGAGGAAGGGAAAAGGGAGGTTTTTCTCACTTTAACTGTGTCTGCATTGGAAAGTCTAGTAGCCCTGAGGCTGGAACTGCAAGAAGGGCGTGAACAAGGTCTCCCAAAGTAACACTGTCCGTTTCCCAGCTGAATGTTGGAAGTACCAAGAGGTTTCAGCAGTGGTTCATCGTAAACCCAACATTCTCCGTCTTCGTGAGTAACCTAGACGCCCCGTGAATGTCCTTCTCCTTCCTTCCTTCCTCAGGCTTCTGCTCTTTGCCTTTCTCCACATCTGTGCCTTGCTTCAGTGGCAGCATCAATGTCTCTGATTTCTGGGTTGAGATGGGCAGCCTTCCAGAGGCAGCGCGATTCATACTCATCCTCTTCTTCAACTTACTTTCCTCTTGATTACAGGCAACTTCTTGGTATCTGTAAAGACTGGATGTTCCCCTGTTGAATATTTTGCACACTTTACACCATTCGAATTGCCTTCAAATGAGCCAAAAGATTTCTTGTCATTCGGAAAAAAAAAATCTTAGTGGTAATTCTGTGCTTCTTGCTCCTATAGAAGGTTTGGTGTGTGAGATGATATTCGTATATGGCCCGTTTTGGGATAATGAATAATGCATTCTCCTCCTAGCTCCATCCAGGGAGCTGTGAGGACAGACTTTCCATAACCACTGGGGAATGTGAGAATGTACTGTTTGTCATGGTCTAGACACAAGACACAGCCCTGCCCTGTGCTTTGCACGCCAACTGAGATCGCAAGGAACTTTAATCTGGTCCATATATGAATGCTGAATTGTGTCTTCTTGCTAAAACATTCAGCATAAAAGGCTGAGATGGGAGGAAGATGGAAAACCTGCTTGGCCGTGAGCGTTACACTGTTTTCAGGAAGTGGTCTTTCCAAACCCAGCTCTGCGTTCTCTTTAGTGTCATTTGGTAACGCCTGTGATGCTGAGAGATCTCACTCCCAATGCAGTTGTATGGCTTTTTGGCAACCGATCCTTTCCTCCCTGTGTGAAAGGTCGAGAAGCACCATTTCACCAACTGAACCATTTGGTCTCTGGGATCCTTCTGGTCACAAATGCTCAGAAGCAGGTCTGCATGTGCAAAAAAGTCTGCATACGTTTCTAGAAAAGGTCTTCTCTCAAGAGTAACTCTTGGAAGAACATCTTAGTAAGGTCCATTCCAAGCCTAACCTGTGACAAGAGAAGCGTGATGACGCTCCTGCGCTCGGCCACGGATCCTGCCTCCCCTTCGTCATCAGTCACATCATGTGAACCAATATGGTCGACATCACTTGTTCCATTGGATGTAGAAGAATTAAGTGACTCTGTGGCATCTGGGTGCTTTAGACTATTTCCTGAGCTTCTGTGTGTCAGCACTGAGGCGAATCTGGAGGAATCTATTAGACACTCTGATGTTGAGACACTCTGATGGAATCCATCGACATCATAACATTTGTCGCAGTTTGAAGAAGAAACACTGGGACAGTGTCTGGAGACAACTTGACATGGCTAGGAGAAGCTGGGCTGCTCCTAGATGGTCAGTGCCCACTGCCTGCATAGCCTGGTACTGGAGCCTGATGATGTCCTGGGGTAGCTAATATTGGTCCAGTCGGTAGGGGAAATGGATACAGCTCTGACTTGCACCACTGAGCAGGTTCTGGAGGTAAGACAGGCTGGGAAGGCACTGTGCTAATGACAGGTTCTAAGGTAAGAGGTCGATCTACTGGGTTAACAGCACTTTAGCAATCCGTAGCAACACAATGCCGGGCTTAATTGATTCTACCATGCAATGTGAGATTTTCAATTTTCTTTCTCTGTTCAACATCTTTGCAGTTTTGAAGCATGTCATTAAAAAGCTCTTATTGTTCTATTAATATTTGTAGGCAAGTATCAGCCTCTGTTAGTATCTTATCAAAGTCTTAGGCACTAGGGGCACATCCTGAATCTAGATGGCGGCAGAAGGGAGGTAGGGAGGAGAGCAATATCCTGGCCCACAGCCTGACTCCAGACAGGCATCAGGGACCCAGATTTACAAAGGGGAAACTCCTGCCCAGAGCAGGGTGGTTTCCTGTCCCCATCACAGAGAGAAGGAGGGGAAGAGTCAAAAGTAGACCAGACTTCCTATCTCCCTCTAGGATCCCCCCTCAGCCTGGCCCTTCTGCCATCCCTCTCCACCCCTCCCAGCCTTGGCCCTCCCCACCCTGACAGGCAGACAGAAGTACCTCCTAGGAGCTCCCAATTTGCAAACCCCTCAGATCCTGGCAAAATGGGGTTTGGCTTCAGGGCAGGGGTGAGTCATACTCATCTACTGCTGGCATCCATGTCATACCAACAGGCACGGAGTTCCAAGGTCAGGCCGTGGGGTTTATGTTTACAGAGGTAACTAACCCACCCCATCCCGGCCAATAGGTGCCAATGCAGGGAAAGTACTGGAAGCATCGGAGAGAAGCAGTTTTCAACTATGACAGACAATCCAAGCAGAGACTTTTAAAAATGGAAAGGGCTGGGATGGGAAGGATGCTATGCTTCTGCAGAGGATGAACAGTTCCCTGGGAGGAATGGTTCTGAAAGTCCATGAGTCCACAAATAAGAAGAGCTCCGCATATGCAATTAGGGACAGGAGGAGAACAGGGCAGGATGAAAGGGAAAGGCTTCTGAGGGTGCGGCAGCATCAAAGCTCACTCACCCAGTGGGGATGCAGGAGGAGGCTGAGAGCGTGAGAGTTTACAGCAGGGTTTCTCAACCTTGGCACAGCCGCCATTTTGGACTAGAGAATTCTGCTGTGGGGGCTGTCTTGTGCATTGTACAATGTTTAGCATCCTCCCTCCCCCAAGCTGTGACAACAAAAAAATGTCCCCAGACGTTGCTAAATATCCCCTGGCGTGTAAAATTGCCCCCTGTTGAGGACCATTGGCTTAAAGGTTGAGCTCGGTGAAGATGCTGTGGTCCCTGGAGCTCAAGTCAGCTCAGCATCATGGAGTGGGTGCACCTCATGGACACAAGGCCTTTCCTCCCTAGGGGGTCATCACCACGACAGAGGGGGAGCTACCTGCCTCCACCAATTTCAACATTGATGAACTGGTGTCTTTCATGGGGAAGGGATGCCTGATAGAGCCTGGGTCAGCGAGGAGAAGAAGGCAGGCCATTTTAAAGCCTCCAGAGCTGATTCCAGAGTAGAAACGCCTGGAACAACTCTTCCTCACTTTGGATCCAGACCAGTATCCTCTGTGCAAGTTCCACTTCCTGTGCTCCAGCCACCAGAAGCCAGCACGGCTCTGGAATGTGCCCCATGGGCTGTCTCTCACCTGTGGGCTTGGCCTGTGCTGTGCCCTGCACCTGGAACAACCACCCTCCTCCCCTCGACCTCCATCCTTCAGGATCAGATCCAGGACTCCTCCCTCCAGTAGTATTCTCTGACCTCCTGGCCACCCGGGGGTCCTTTCTCTGCACCACCCTCAGGCTGTCCTGGCCATATTGTCATGAGATCTCCCTGCCCTGCTAGACTGTGAGCGGAGGGCAGAGCTGGTCCCATTCATCTGTTCCGTCTGTAATCTCCAGCAGCTGACCGAAGCATGGGCTCCAGGGGTGCTGCTGAATGAACACACCCCCTCCACACCCACTGCTCCTCCTGGGGCCGCAGGCACCCAGCAGGGAAACCTCAGTCTTCATTCCCACCTCACTCTCCCTTCCCTTTGACCCAGGCAGTCACAAAGCCCTGCCCTTGGCCCACTGCCCTTCTCGTGTCCCTTCCCCTCTGCCTCCCTCTCATTCTTCCTGCACCCCCGACACTTGTGCCAGCCCTTTATGGTCTCTGAGGAAAAGGGAACACTTCTGCAATCTCCTCTCTCAACCTCACAACAGCTCAGGGAAGGGATCATTATACCACATCAACAGATGGGGAAACCGAGATCTGGAGCAGAACCAGACCTTCTGGAGGTCAAGTGACATGACAGCAGCAGAGACAGGACTCAGCTGAGGTCCAGACTCCTGTTCGGTGCTCTTTCCCTGCATCATGGCATTGAGTGTTCTGTAAACCCAAGCAGGGCAACACCATGGGCGGATGTGCATGCAGGCTGCAGAGCGGGGAGTCAGAAGAGGGAGGTCAGGGCAGCGTGGGTCCCCAGGCAACCCTCCTTTGATGGGTGGGAGGTGCTCTGAACAGGGCGCCTACACAAAAAGGATGTCTGTGGAGGCGTGAAGGCTGGAACAGGCCCCTCAGACGGGCGGGGTCACAGCTGAGGGAGGTGGGTGCTCTGCTCCAGCCCCTCGAGGGCACCGTTTCCAGTGAAATTACATTTTCAATTTCTTGTCTGAGCCTCCAAACAGAAACATCTGTGGCCCAGCCCCAGGCCCCGGTTATGAGTTCTTTCCTCTTTTCTCTGGACTGTTGACAACCGTTTCATTCTCTCTCACTGGAGCTAGGCTGGAAGCTTGAGAGAGGTCACTGCGTGTGTCTTGTTTGGAAATGACCATAAATGAGTCTGTTTTGCTGTGATGGTTAGAGAACAGTGGGGGGAGCGGGCGGGGGACAGACCCCACATTCCTCACACAAGCGAAGGTAATGGGAGACTCTCTGAGACGGAGACATGCGTCACACCAAGACTGGGGATGGCACGGGACCCGCGGATGGTTCAAATTAGGATGCTCTTCTCTGAAGGCAAAACCAGCAGTCTGATCTTGTGCAACGTCGCTGTGGCAACAAAGCCAGGTGGCGGGAAGTCACACGGCCCTCTGGGTGACCTTTCAGTGGGGTGGGATGGCATGGGCTTAGGCACCAGGCCCTGCACTGCTTGCGACTCGAGGTGTGGCCTGGGGCACAGACCTCTGCTCTGGAGACCCCCATCTGTAAAAGGAAGGGCCACCTTGAGCAGTGTCCAAGGGTCTGTCTGTGGATCCATGCAAGTGGCCAGACAGCCAGGTGTGTGGTGTGCTCCGTGCTCAGTCAGGGTGACGTCAGAGGTTCTCACAGGTTCTTAGAGAGCTGGGCTTGAGGGCAGGCTGTGCATCTCTCCCTGGATCAGAACAGTCGATTCTGAACTTGACTTCTATCTGACTGTGAACTCTCTGAGAGCAAGAACCAAGTCTTATCCAGCTGTTTTTCCCATAGAGTCCAGCCCAGGGATTCCAAGAGGGTTGAAGTGATGGGAGGAAACCTCACTGCCCGCCAGGTTGGTCTATCCTGCCCTGAGCACTCAGCCACATCTCAGCAGGTGCTTGGAACCTGACTGGCCTTACCAATGCCCTGAGTGCAGGGTGCAGACCCCGTGTTCCCCCTTCCTGTCAAGGCAGGGACCTCCTACAGGCCGCAGGACTTATCCCCCAGGAGGCGGAGCCCCATCTCCAGCAGGTCCTCACTGACCTTGAAAGTCACTTTTCCAATTTTCTCCCTTTGAGTGGTTTGAGAATCTGGGATGAAAACAAAATGCGAAGTCTTTGTAATCCAATCCCTTGGAACAGGATTCCAGGAGGCCGGGCCTGCTGTTTCCCATTACTGTGGTCTGTTATCTGATGGGTACGGAGGGGAAAACACCCCGCGTTCCCACTCTTCGCTCACCCTCTCAGCTTTTCCGGGGAAAATGCTGGGAAAAGTCTCACCATCCTAACTGCCCAGGTGGACCCAGCATGGTGGGGCAAGTGAGGGGGCAAGAGAACAGGCAGGCAGCTGGTTCCAGGAAAGTCCTAGCAGAGGACGGAGCACTCATACCCAAAGGGTGGGGGGCCAGGAGGACAGTCAATGGAGCCAGGAAGAAAGGACCCCTGGCCCGGTGTGTTAGAGGCCAGATGCAGGAGGGAAGCACCCCACTGACATCTGCCTCTCACCAGGCAACCAGCGAGGCCAAGGGAGGGTGGGCATATTCCTTCCCAGGGACTGGAACAGCAGTTTTCAAAGTGTAGTCCCGGGACAGCAGTGCCAGCAGCACCTGGGAACTCCTCAGAAATGCAAATTCTCGGGCCCCACCCCAACCTGTGTTTCACCACGCCCTGCAGGCTATGTCGGCTAAGGCCTGAGGATCAGGCCCGAGAGCAAATCTTCCCAACAGTGAGCGGTAGATGGATACAGGTGTGCCAAAACATTGACCCCCTCAGCCATCAGGGAGCTGGCTGGGGTCTGGGCCAACCAGAGTCCCCAGGCCAGTCGTCACTAACTCTACACAAATATGATGATTTTCCACCTGTGACAAGGACTAGGAAGTGCCACTGGGGGAGATGTTAGGGCTCAGCCTTCCCCAAGTTCCTCCTGTGACAGCGAGCAGGGGCCAGGGCAGGACAGGGACTTGGCCTGGACCATCTGCCCCTAGCCGAGGACTCCCTCCTTGATGCATGCGGCCTCTCCAGCTTCCCACATCATTTCACCGTCACCTGCCAGCACATGGCTGGGGCAGGGGTTAGGTGCTGGGAGAAGGGGACAGCTGACATCATACTCAGTTGTCTGTGGACTCGGCTCCCTGTCACGCCAGCTCTGGGCGAGGGGCTGCCTCGGGAACAGACCAGAATCCCGAGTCATTCTCAAGCAATTGCCAAATAGAGCCGAGCCCCAGAAGTCCAACCCTTGGGCCCACGGATGTGCCTGGTAAGTCCTGCAGAGGAGCCGTTCTTGGGGCAAGAGGAATTACGCCAGATGCGGCAGCTGGAGAGAGTCGGGTGGTGGGCTGCCCGCGGGGTGTGCAGACAGATGGAGGCTCACAGTGAGAACCCAGGGGTCTGGACAGGGTGTGCCCAGGGGCGGTCCCCAGCCCTGCTTGGCAGGCCTGCCTGCAGGAAGGATGCCCTGTGGCCTCCCACCCTGTCCTGCAGAAGGTGCCAAGGCCAGTGTCACCTCCTTTCTCTGCTGCTGCCCTTCTCTCATCACTTGGAATGAGTGGCTCTTTGTACATGAAAGGAAAGCGGCCTGCGTGTGCCTTTAATCCTCCCGACGAAAGAAGCACCGGCACATGACCCCACAGGAATGCTTCATCCCTGGCCTAGTGGGCAGGCAGGTGGATGGATGAATAGAAAGACGCCAGGATGGGGCGTAATGAGGACATCCTCTCCCACGTCCTCTCCCTGGTGTTTGCACCGTGTGTGTGGAGTCCTCTCTCTCTCTGTGGCTCCTCTCAAGGGCTCACTTGCTGGTGGGTGGGCAGTGTCCCTAGGCTCCAGGTGAGCCCCCTGGGTCTCAGGCAGCCAGGGCCGCAGGGCCTCGGCCATCGTCCATGTCTCTCTGTCCCAGTCCCAGTCATTTCACAAACAGGGAGGTGGAGGTTCCGCCCAGCGTCACACTGAGTCATGAGTGGCCAAGACGCTAATAACAAGAGCTTGGTAATGTCCCGGGCACTGTTCACGACTGTGAGCCAGGCACTTACGTCATCCCCATTTTACAAATGACAAAGTGACGTCCAGATAGGTGAAGCCCAATGGCTCATAGCCAGAAAGTGGCAAGGTCAGGATTCAAACTCCAGAACCCACGCTCATAACACCTGCAAGTTCTGCTTCCCCAAAGAAGGCACTGGAACCCAGGTCTCCTCCCTCCCTGGCCAGCTCCTCCCACTGCATCCTCAGGCCTCCACATCATTACCCAAAGGCTCTGTGAAGGGCCTGCCTGCGGGTCCCCAGTGAACTTGGGAGTGAAGTGAGCCCCACTCACCCCGGAGTCTGGGCAACCCCCCTCCCTAACATACAGACGGGCTGAGTTAGAGGAGCTGAGGACCCCACACTGCCTCCGAGGCCAGGGGGCACCTCTGCTCAGTGTTCACAGGGCCCAACCTGCGCCAGCAGAATGACAGAGGCTGTCCTCCCAGGCACAGAGGGTGCCGCTGCTCCAGAAGCCACCTCTGAGCTACCCCCTGGCAGGCCAGGTCTTCCCCCTTCCGATCCTGCTCGAGCCCCAGCCCGCCCCACCAGGTAACCTCACCTGTCTCTCCTTTGGGTCTAATAGCACTTACCACACCTGGCAGCTGCTGCCTTGAGGGAGGCGGGGCCTTGAGAAGCAGCCCTTTATCCCCTACCCCCGCCACAGGGACATCCTCACAAACTGAAGACACGTCACTGCTGCAAAGCACACATTTCTCCACTTGGGCCACAGTGACCACAAAATGCTGCATCTGCATAAGCCCAGGCACTGTGTCCTTCCAGGCTGTGGGATCCCACCTCACCACACCGCCCTGAGTTGGGGTGATCCCAGAACCCATCCTCCTTCCTGCAGGCCTGACCACCCCACCCACTGCACCTCCCGGCCGCTCAAGCAAAGTTCCAAAGCCAGAGATGGCCCCGACTCACTTGGTTCTGATGCAGAGCTCGAGAGGTGGGACGAGGTCATTGTTTCTGTCCTCAGGGACTGTCTGGGTGGTGTCTGGGGAACGGGGAGAGGCACACGCTCGTTAGCCCAGGACCCACGCTCACCCTGAGGTCAGCACCGACACCCCAACTCCCTACCCAACTCTGCTGGTACCTGCCCCTCTTCTCATCTTGACTGGACCACTCTTGTTCCTGCCCATGGGTTCTCTCCCAGACATCACAGCACCCTACTCGCTGGCCTCGTACCTCCAGTCTCCACTCCACCCTCCTGTGCCCTCCAGGTACAGAATAATTCTTTCTAAAAACACATGTGATCCATCACTTCCCTGTTCCAAAACCTTTCGTGGCTCCCTACTGCCTAAAGAATAAAACCCAAACATGTGAGCATTGTATTTGGGGCTCTCTACTACGTGGACTCAACTGCACCTTACACACTCTTAACACCATCAGTTTCTCAAGGCCCTCTTCTGGCCCCTCCTGCAGAGAGACCTGCAAACACTCGCCGGCTGATCCCCGAGTCCTGAGGCTTGAGTCTGCAGTGTTCTCTGGCTGCACCGAGTGGGTGTGCTAAGCTAGGGTACGGGGACAGGGTGGGGAGGCAACACACCAACAGTCAGCCGGATCTGCTCCTGCTGGTTGGCCAGGCCGTCGTAGTAGTACAGGTCAAAGAGCCTCTCTGTCCTCCAGTCTCGCAGGAGCTCCGGCTGCAGGCTGAAGAGGACGCTGAAGTGGCTCTCGCTGCACACCACCCAGATGGGGAACCTCGGGGTCTTCAGGAAGCAGCCGACCTGCAGGAGGAAGAGGGAGCAGACAGAGATGCCTGACGCAACCGGCCATCCCCAGGGAAAGGGGCCAGGGCATCTTCTGCCCAACCCCAGGACTGGGCTGACCTCAGAGAGACCCTGTTGGGGATACAGGATGCTGGGCGCCCCTCGTGGTGCTGCTCGCAGGGCCTCTGCCTCACAGATAGTCCTACCCCTGGAGATACCCCAGCCTGAAATCCAGCAGCCTCCATCCCCGTCATCTCCCACATCTCACTGGTTCACCGTGCTGCCCATCCTGCCTCTAAAAGCTCCCTCACGCCCCGCCTCTCCTCCCAATGACCTCCTCACTGGTTCTTCCACACCCTCCCCTCCCCCTCACAGCCACAAAGAACCTCTCACAAGTCCTCAGACTAACCCAGCACGGCGAGCATTCACTGTCCACCAGTCTAGAGCGCTGGTACACCTCTCCTCTCCTTCAACCACCTGCATCACCCAAGTTACCCAGTCAGGGAGCACGAATCACTTCTTCCTTCTAGCTCCCGGGGTGGCGGGTACAAGGTACTAGGCACTAGGTACTAAGTACCTGCCCTCTTCTATGGCAGAGCATCACTCTGCCTCACGATGATGCATTTTGTGCCTCTTGCATGCTGGACTATACCCTTAGCACCAAGAACAGGGGTACAAGTCACCATAAGCAAATGTTTGACAAATGAAGATCCTCAAGAATGAAGCGGAACTTGAACTAGGACTTCACCTTGAAGACAGGTGGGACTTGGGGCCACAGGGAGAAAGGACGGAGGGCCTCTGGGTGAGCAGTCTGTGGGTGATGGTGAATGTCCCAAGACATTCAGGGAAGAGCGGGGCGTTCGGGAATGAGCAGGGGAAGCAGAGGACAGGAGCTGGGACCTCCTTCTGAGGAGGGACTCCCTTGGAGAGCTCCCAGCAGAGGACGTTCACGGTGGAGGTGTGTCAGGGAAGGTAGACACCAAGGAACACGCATCAGGGCCCTCAGTGCTGCTGTTGCTCTGCCTGCAAAGGGAGAGCGTGGCCAGGGCCCTCTGCGAAGACCTGCTCACAGGCCTGGCTGGCTCTGGCCCTCGGGTTGGCCAGCCCTCTGCACGCTCCCTCCCTGTCACCTGTGACTCCCTTGGGCAGCACCTCCCCACCCCTGACGCTGGTTTATTCAGCTCCATACACCATGGGCCAGGGTGATTCCAGCCTAATCCCCACCAGCCCCAGGGAGATGTTTGCAAGCTCAGGTATTTACAGCCGCAGCCTGTGGATTAAGGAAAGAATGGGAATTATTTTTCCAGTGGGGAGAAGGGCATACTTTCTCTAGGGCCCGTCACGGGAGAGTGGCTGGGCAGCTTCCTCGGCCCCTCAGAGCCCACCTGGGAGCTGCCTCTGGGTTGGGGTGTCTGGGACAGAAGGTTGTGCTCAGAAGGCCCTGAACGAGGTCCCTGTGGAAAGACTTGCCCACCGACAGCTTCCTCTTCCAGAGGGCAGCAGGGTCATCTTTACGTGTGTTCATTTTCTCATTTTCCCAGCGCCCCACCCCCACCTGGCTGGTGGGTCCCTCACCCCAGCTCCGTGTGACATTAAAACGTGATGGCAGAGCTCGCTCCTCAGTGAGACGTGGGGGAATTAGATGTTTTACAGGACGTGGCTGGACGTGCCTAAACCCGACTGCAAACTTGGCTTCCATGCCAGGCTCAAAAGAGGCTTTTCTGGTGAGGGCATCGCCTCGAACAGGGAGCCCTGAAGCCTGGAGACCCCGCTCATTCACTGTGGTCGGGGGGGGGGGGGGGGGGGGGCGGGACGGGGAGAACCACTAAGTCTGCCAGGGAGAGGGCGTCTGCATAATCGGATGCCCTGAATTTTCCAGCAGAGGGACCAAAGGGCAGCTTGCCATTTATACAATGGTCAAAAGATTAAGGGCAAAGAAGCTGCCCAGAGAGTTTATAAATGAGTTTTCTCATTCAGGAGCCGCTTCCAAGTGGGAGACATTTTCCAAAGATGAAATTTGCTTCCTTTGGGTTCTCGGGTAGCTGACCAAAGGCCTGGGGTGAGGAGGAAACGTAGGGGCACATTTTCTCCAGCACAGTCGGAGGCTTTCTCCTAGCGGGTGGAGGGGCAGCACGAGTAGGGATTACCTTTAAATGGGGACTCTTCCATCTTCTGGGAGGAGGAGGGTGGAGTGAATGCCCCCAGCGCATCTGTGACTGCCAGCTTAGAAGCCCTAATTTAAAAGGATCAACATCTGATTGCTGGCAGAGTTACAGTCTGTCATCTCCAAGGATAACATCCATTTAACATGACTTATACTTTTGTCCCAGGCACCATGCTAGGCGATGAGGACACAGCCAGGCTAGGGCAGGGGGCTGGTTCCTTATGGCCGGGGGCGCATTTCTCAGCCCAGCACTTCCTCTGCTTCACCGAGGCATACCCATAGTGGAGCATGGGTCATCTGAGAAGCTCGCTGATAGGCAGCACCGCCCCACTGCCCGCCCCTACAGACTCAGCGAAGGCCCCAGAACCCCAGCTCTGGTCAGAGGCTGCAGCCAGAAGCTGGAGACAGGCTGTGAGTGAGAGACAGGTCTGGATCCGCCCTCTATGTGAAAGAAAGCCTCAGCCTTACAGGAACAGCCCCACCATGGACACCATGACCCAGGCTGCCCCAAATGCCAGATCTTCCCCATGACCACGGCTATGCTGCCCAACGGCGGGGCACCGGGCCATGGCAGAGCGGAACCCCCCCCCCCAACCAGGGAGAGTCCTAAACCTCCCTGGATTCCTTCCACGTCCAACGTGGCCAATCATGTAGGCCCCAGGAACTCAGGGACAGAGGGCACAGAGGGGACGGCAGGTGGTGTTAAGGGAGAGGAAAGCACTTTGTCTACACTGGCAGGCCTCTGCCTTCTCCTGCAGAGCCCAGGCCACCAGTGAGCGCCGGGGAGAAGGAGAGGAGGCCCCGTCCCCACCAAGCACACAACTGCAGAGGTGGTCCGTGCAGACTCAAGGGTTTAGGTCATTGTAGGGCCTGAATTTCTTCAACTGACATTTCATTCCAAGGCAAAGATGACCCCCAACTGATGTTCCCATCAACTACCCTCAACAGACCGCAGGAAAATAGTTTACTTTTTGACCAACACCCTCGACACAAGAATGAAACCAGGGCTCACGGTAAGCCCGGGGATTCCGCGTGCCTGGCCAAGGTTGCTGTGGAATTTCGGGCTGAATGCTTCCAGAGCCCACCCAGGGTCTGATGCTCAGGGCCCTGCTGCTTCTCACGGGCCACGTGGCCACATTCCTGGGCTTCCTCCTGACACCAGCACATCAGGAAAGGAGCCACTATCATTCCTTTCTTTGTCTTTGGAACCCACAAGTCAGCTTCCCATACGTGGGGGTAGGGGTGTCACCCAGAGAGGGCGTCTGGGGACGGGGCCACACCAGGTGGCCCAGGAGCAACAGGATAGCACCCCTAAACATTTAATCCTGCAGGAAGGGCACCATGAAACTTGAGTCCTGCCTTAAAATTCCAGTCTCCACCCACCCTGCAAATCCATTGGCCTAGTACTGTCTGAGTCCCCTTAGGCCAGTCTCTGTTCCCGGTTCTGGGCCTACATGATGAATGAGGCCTCATCCAGACCTTCCAAGAATCTTTGCCAGGGGGCCACCACGAAAAAAGCTCCTGCTACCCCCTCAGGACAACACTTTCCAGGGACTCAACCACAGAACAGTGTCTCCTCTGAAAACATGACAATCAAGACTCAGATGATTCAGTGGCAGGCTGGGGCGAGAACACAGGGCCCATGCACCCCTGCCAGTGCTGCCCCAAGACACAGTCACCCTATCCCATGTCCAGCTTCACCTGGGGATCCAGTCCTTTCCGAGACCCTGGATGCAGTGAGAGAGGAGGTAGAGGGACCAACACACTAGCAAACAGACTGAGTGAGGCCTGTTATGGGTTAAACTGTGTACCTCAAAAAGATATGCTGAAGTCCTCGTTCCCAGTACCTCAGAATGTGACCTTATTTGGAAATAGGGTTGTTGTAGATGTAACTAGTTAAGTTGAGGTTAGTGGAGTAGGGTGAACCCTAATCCAACATGACTGACATCCTTCTAAGAAAAGGAGACGACACACAGGGAGAAGATAGCCACTTGACGATGGAGGCAGAGACTGGGGTGGTGCACCTGCAAGCCCTGGAACACCCAAGATTGCCGGAAAGCACCAAAAGCTAGACGAGACGAGGCAGGACTCTGCCTGTGGGTTTCAGAGGGAGCACTGCCCTGCCAACACCTTGGTTTTGGACTTCCGCTATGAGAACATCTGCTCCAGTACTATGAGACAACACACTTCTGTTGTTTCAAGACAGCCAGTTTGTGGTGCTTTGTTGAGACAGCTCTAGGAACAAATACAAGGCCCAAGACCCAGGTCCCCGTTCCTGGAGAAGATGCCCCAACACACACATACACACATACACACACACACACACAAAGAGGACAGCTGCAGCCACTCAAACCCACAATCACACTATAAATTCCTTCCAGACAACCTTTCCCACAACACAGTACCAGCCGGCTTTGGGTATGAATTACTCAAGAGCAGTGAAGCTGCACTTCTCCCCAAACCCTCTGTGATTGACACTGGACCCGAATTCCGCCCGGCTCTGGGGACTGGAGTTGGCCTTTCCTTCCCCCGCCCTCCTTCTCGTTGGTCCCAGGGAGCCGGTCTCCTTGTCTCTGGGGACCTGCTCTCCTGGTACCTGGCACACGTTGTAGTGCTCAAAGAGAGACAAGAAGCCAATGTCGCTGCGCGCAGCAATGCCTTTGAGGAGTGTGATGTTCCCGTTTCCAGAATCCAGCTCAATCACGTCGTTGAAAACATTGGACACGGCTTTCCCGGTCAGGAGCAGATTGACAAGTTCCTGTTGATGAGAGAAAGGGAAAAGCTTGTCAAGGGGAGATCAGGAACAAGAGAAAAAGGGTGGAGAAGGAAGGAAAGCGGGGGCGGGGGGGGAGACCGAAATCAGAGGGGCTGTGACTTCACCGTCCCCACGGTCCTCAGGGGAGGCTGCCCACTCTTCTCATCAAAGCGACTCCAGGCACTCATCAGTCTTTATTCCCCAAGCATTCATTGAGCACCAACTGTACACAGGAACCTGTCCTAAGCCCTGGGCTCCAGAGGGTGGCGGGGAGGGGGCCCTGCTGGAGGGAAAGAATGGCTCCTGACCTCAGGCGTCCAGGTCCAGAGTGGGGAAAAATGTGTGCACGGGGCATTCGGGGCCCAGGCGGACACGAGACCGCATGCCTGAGTCAGAGGCGCTTTGTGGAGAAGCGACATTTGGGTGGGTCTCAAAGGAGGGTATTTTTTTTCATAGCCTTTTGTATTTTGAGACAATTTCAGACTCAAAAGAAGAAGTAAAAATAGTACAGAGAGTTCCTGTGTACCCTTCACCCAGCTTCCCCCAATAACATCTTACATAACCAGGGCACATTCTCAACACCAGGAAACTGACAGTGGTGCAATACCAATAACTCAATTCCAGGCCTTATTCGGACTTCACCGGTGACGGTGGGGTCTCTAGGTGCGGAGGGAGAGTAGAGGACAGCAGAAGCAGAGAGGTGGAGGCAGAGAAGCCCAAGGCCGGGTTCTAGCTCTGTCTCTGCCCTCGATGGCTACATGGCATCGGGCAGCAGCTGCGTGACTCGAGACGCACACCTGAGAGTGCAACAGGCTGCCATCCCCAGAATCACGTGGTGACATGTGGAACATGGTTTCTCTGACCGTCTCCTTCAGCCAGTGCCTCCTGCATTGGGGTGGCTGGAAGGGCCCTCCCTTATACAAGCCATCTAGGGGTCCAAACTCCTGTTAGGAATGGGGAAACTGAGGCTCACAGATGAAAAAGGATGGCCCAAGCCACACAGCTGGTTAGTGACTGAGCTGGACTTCCACCCACATTTTCCAGCTCCCTGTCTGGTGTCCCTTCCCTCTCCCCTCACTTGTTACCCTCCAGGTACCACCTGGCTGGCCAAAGATTCGAGATGAAGGATGGCCGCTGCTCCGCTAGGTGCCCGCTGCTCCGCTGAGGAAGGATGCAAGCGAGCACTGCGTTGGCACATGGGCAGGCAGGACCCTCTATTTAACACAACTTCTGCCAGGGCTGGCACACGTGGGAGGCCAGCAGGCAGGACTCTCCCCCACAGCACGTAACAGCCCTTTCTCTGTAGGGCAGAGGTCATAGAAGTGTTTTCCCCTGAATTGTGAGAACAACGCCTGGAGTCAATAAATACCTCCGTCAGCACCAAGACCCCTGCTCCAGTGACAGTAAAAGAAGCCTCCTCTAATGGCCACAGAGGGAACCCCATTGGAGGGAGATACCGAAGGGGCCTCATTGTGTCCTTGCAGAGGAAACGAGAAAGAATTTGGAGGAAATGCCTGCTCTGAGATGCTGTACCTCAGCGGTAGTGGCTGCTAAGAAAGGCCCGGCCTTTCTCGGATGCGTTTGAGTTTTCCCATCTAGGTTTCAAGGGGAGAAAAAGGCTCCAGCTCCCCATCTGCGGTATGTCTCAAACCCTCCTCAGAGAGGGAAGCCTTCTTGCAACGGGGGAGAAGGGGCGACGGGCTGCTCCCTGCCCCTAGACTCAAAGTCAACATCGTGGCAAAGCTCAGTGGTCATCTAGGCCCTTGCTTCTCAAAGTGTGGTCCATGGACCAGCAGCATCACCCTCCTTGGGGACCCTGTTAGAAATTCAGAATCTCATGTGCCAGCCTGGACCCACTGAATCTGAGCCCGCTTGTCAACCAGACCCCTGGGGGGTTCATGTGCACAATGAAGTTTGAGAAGCAGAGGTCTAGTCCAAACATCTCATTCCACAGGGAAGAAAACGAGTCTTGGGAAGAGGAAGAACCTCACCCCAGCTCATTCTGCAAGTGAAACAGCCAACCCAGCTCAGAAGCCGGACCCAGACTCTGGCCTGGCACCCTCTGCACACACTTGACTGCCCATCCCTGGACCACACTGCTCTCTGCCTGCTGAGGGGGAAGCTCCTGCAGGGAAGACAGCATCAGAGTGGGAGATGAGCCACAGGTGGCCAGAAAGGCAGCCACTCACCCTGAGGCCTTCCTCTAGGAAGGTGGGCAGCAGCCAACCCCACAGTCCCTTGGGTGCCCTGGACAAACCAAGCTGGCCCCTGCAGGTGCTCAGTATGTATTTAGAGCTGGCACAAGTGAGCCAGGACCCCCAGGACAATTCGGTGCTCAGCTGGGCCCAGCACACTGAGCAGCTCTGCCCAGCCTGTCTGTGCTACACCTGCTGCCCCTGTATGTTGCCCCCGTATACATTGAAGGTCAGATTTAACTGTGGCCCGGTGGCCACTCTGGGAGGCCTTGCTGTGCGAGAAAGGTACAGACAGAAGCCAGGTGGGACGTTCAGCTCCCAGTCCCGATGCTCACTGATCTTGGACAGATCCCTTCCCTGGTATCACAAGGTGATTGGGAGCATCTATGAACAGCAATTGTGCTAAGGGTTCCCCTGCCGCCCCATGAGGCCCCTTGAGGGCCCCTTTGTGAAGATGCAGAGGGGAGGGTGGTGTAAAGACAATGCCCTGTGCAAACACAAAGGGTGCCAAGGCTGTCATCTCCCCAGCTGGACCCAGGGCCGCAGCCTGTGCCCAGGTTCTGGGCTGGGCAGTGCCTGGGCCTGCCACTGGTCCTTTTGCAGCCCGTGCAGCACCAAGCTAGCAGAGTGGGCACAGCAAGCTCTCCAGACACGGAAGCTAACCTGAGTTCCTTTTCTAGGTGCCCACGACGGTAAAGCCCAGCAGAGGCCGGCATGTGAAAGCTGCATGGAGAGGGCTGGCAGGTGCAAAGAAAGAAGAGAAGAGGCAGAGAAAGAAGCGCCTGGCTGCCCCGGGCCCCACTGTGCCCCCTGACCTGTGTGCAGTATCCGTGTGCTCCAATCAGGTGGCTGGTGGGGACATCGAAGTCCTGGCGGACGCTGGAAAACACAGAAGAAGCGGTGTTAGCACGTCTCCACCTGACTCGAGCTGCCTGAGCAACCTCACTGGGTGACCAAGGCTCCCCTTGAGCTCCAGGTTGAGCTCCAGCACTGCAGATTTGGTGAGAATATGAGCGCTCTGGGTTCTGCATCCTCCCTTGTGGCTGGAGCCCGGGGCTCCCCGAGTCTCGCCCACTCTGCTCTGGGCAATGGCCTCCACTCCAACTTGGGGACAGAACCGTGACGCAGCAGAAAGGCCCCTGGGTTTGGAATCCAGCATCCTGCATTCACATCCCAAGTGTCATTTATGAATGGTGGGGACTGGGACATCCACTGCCATCTCTGGGCCTCGGTCTATGAGTCTGTTAAACGGGAGGAATGGTCTAAAATAATAGCTGCCACCACTAGGCACAGACCTCATACCAGGCCCCGCACACACATTATTTCCTAAAGCCTGAGAGAACACCAGGGCTCAGAGAAGGGCTGACTTGCCCAGGGTGCTTGGCTGGTGGGCCATGGAGCTGCAGGGGACCCAGTAGCCAGTCTCAGAGGCCCGTGCTCTCCCCAGCTCAGATTACCACTGTGGCTCCACCCTCGGAATAGGGCTCCCTAAAAGGTACAAAGTGAAAAGCCCGTTTGCCAAAAGAAATCCCTCAAACCAAAAGAAACAGGTTTCTGGGGCTGTACAGTGCTGGGGACCAGAACAACTCAGGGCGTTGTACCAGCAACGGTCCTGTCACATGTGAAGTTGGCACCAGGAGGCAAACCTCTCCCCACCGCATCTCAAAACCCTCCTACCGTCTAGAAAGCCCACCATTAGGACGCTGTTCCTTTTACCGACCCAAAGTGAATCCCTCGGGAGACTAAGCGTTATTGCTGAACGGAGCCATCGGACAAGTAAACAGGAAAGAAGCTCCTATCTACGGACACACACAGAGGATGGGAATGACAGCTTGCCAGCCTCCCAGGAAGGTGAGACTTACTATATTTTATAGACGTGAAAGATGTTCAGAGAGGTGACGCCAGGGGGGCCATGTGAAGCCAGAGACTGGCTCCCTCTGCCACTGCACATGGCCTTGGGGACACACCGCCCACCAGTCCCGTGCCCGAGGCCTGGCCTGCAGCCTTCATCCCCACCCCAGAGAGCACCGAGATGCAGCCCAGAGGGAGGAAGGGCTCAGCAACCACGATGTTTGTTTTTCCTTTTAGTGGAAGAGAAGAGAAACCTGGTCTCAATTTTATGCTTTAAATCTAAGATCTGCCATAAGTTTGCAAACCTAAAACACACACCCTGGCCACTGTGTCCTTTCCAAATGAGTTTAGAAACTCCGGTCCCAGGACCTCTGCAGGAAAAATGCTTTCTTGTGGTTTTTAATAACCATGGCCAGATGGGGACGGTTTGTGGTTCACACAGAGAAGACGGGCTGGGATTGGCACAGCAGGGCCCAGCTGAGAACCAAGGCGGCCAGGGGTCGCCTTGGAGGCTGGCCCACCAGAGACAGCCCAGCAGGCCTGGGAATGAGCGGGCTGGGGCACGAACGGCCGAAGGCAGCGCTTCACTGGCAGGAGCTCAGGCAGAAGAATTAATGGAAACGCTGTCTGAGGCATAGACAGGCATCTTCTGGAAAGAAGAAAATAACCTCAAAGGAGCCCTGCGAGGGCTGATAAGCATCGCTGGCCCCGAGCCTGCCCGCAGCTTTCAGAAGGAGTCTGATCTTCGTAATCTCACATTCTCGTGTTCGCCCAGCGGGTTTGAGCGCCTGCGTCAGCTGAGGGCAGGGGGACGGTCAGAGGGGACAATGGGAGGAAATGGTAATTGCATCCTTAGGTGCAAACACGGTTGGAAATTCAGCAGCGGGCTCCGAGTTAAAAAGGAGAAACATCTGTATTTCACATCAGGGCATTCAGGAGATGCCAAGGCGCGGCTTATGGCTTACGAGATTTACAACTTTGGCAAATCTAGATGCGCAGACCTCGTCTAGGGGGATTCCCCGGAGAGCGGGGTGTCAGGAGGCCTTGAGCAAAGGAACAGGCTGTGCTCTGCCTGCAGGGAAGACAATTCACGTGGCAGGGCCCCCACCAGGCCCGGGTTCTAGCCCCAGCTTGCTACGTGGCCACAAAGCTCTCCTCTCTGAGCCTCAGTCTCCCCTTTTGCAACATAAGGGGCTTGTGCAAAGACGAGTGATGCCATGGGCTGAATTGTGCCCTCCAGAAGTCCTATGTTGAGGCCCTAACCCCCGTACCTCAGAATGTGAGTACAGTCGGAGACAGGGCTTTTAACTTGGTGATTAAGTTTAATGAGGCCGTTAGGCTGGGCCCTCATCCAATCTGACTAGTGTCCTTATAAGAAGAGGAGATCAGGACACACAGAGGCACACGGGGGATGCGTGCACACAGAGGAAGGACCCTGTGAGGACACAGTGAGAAGGCGTCTGTGTGCAAACCGAGGAGAGACGCCTCAGAAGAGACCAACCCTGCCAGCACCTTGATCTTGGGCTTCCACACTCCAGAACCGTGAGACAATTAATTTCTGTTGCTTAAGCCCCCTGGCTTAAGACCCAGGCTGTGGTACTTTGTCACAGCAGCCCTAGCAGACGAATACAAGCCAGCTCCAACATCTTTTTAGACTCAGAGCCCTTTCTTCAAATGAAACCTTACATGCAGAAGCCCAACATATGAAATATAAAGGCAGAGCTGCTCCGGCTGAAGATGGTGCAGGTCCTGGGCCCATCCTTTTCCCCCTCCACCAGGCCCTGCGGCCCCTCTGGGGAACCCCTGGGTCTCCAAGGTCATGCAGTGTCCTGGGAGCAGGGGCTGAATCTGTGGAGGGGTTGCCTGAGCTCTGAGGTTCCTAGACTTTTCCGGGCTTCTGAGCTATAAGCTGTGATGGGCCCTTCCCTGGGACTGATAACCACTCCTGTCCAAAAGTTAGGTTGTCCCTTCCATGGTCCTCCTGGGGGCTAGACACAAGTAGGCCCCAGGAAAATGCTGGACAGCCTGAGGAACCAGGCACCAGGCTGAGTGACAGGAGGCAGGAGGAGCCAGGGCCTGAGGAAGCATGCCCTCCTGAGGCTGTCCTGCACCAAGACCCCTTCAGGGAGCAGGAGCTTGCCTGGATTCTGGGTTCTAAGAAGCACAGAGTGGAGGGAGCCTGAATGCATTTGCTCAGGGCATGGAAACTTACCAGGAGGGGCTTGGCCTTGGCTGCCCTGCCACCACCCTCTTCAGCATTCTGGGAGCAAAGGGCCAGAACCTGGACCAACAGACTAGGGTGACAGCCCAGCCTCAGGGATGTCCAGTTCACTCACCGACAGAGGAGAGGGGCCTGAGAGACTGGAACTGCTCCTCCCAGCTCTGACCCCATCAGGAGGTCCTAGGGACACTGCAGTGACTAAGAAACAGGAGAAAGAGGATGCCAGGGTTGGCAGAGCCCTCAGGGCTCAGCATTTCCCAGACTGGAAAAAGGATGGCCAGAGAAAGAACACAACTGGCCCAGGATAGTGACAGATGCCAGCCCAAATGCAGTGCCCAAAGCCTAGCACTCCACTGCCTCTCTCCAGTCCGCCCTTCATCACACGTCCCTGAGGGGGAGAGGCTCTGCCGCTGAGCAGCTGACAAGCATGAGCCTCAAACCTGCAGCTTCAGACACTTGCAAGTACATCGTCCTCTCTAAAGCCTTGTGAGGCCAGGACGGCAAGAACCGCCATCTCCATTTCACTGATGGGGAAACTGAGGCCCAGAAAGGAGAAGGACTTGCAGTCTGTGGTCACACAGAGAGTCAGTGGGCCAGGACTGTGTCCCCATCACCAACATCACAGTGTCTACTATGGCCAGCTCCAGGCAGGCCCCAGAGCCCTGAAGCCCCACTCCTGGTCCCCACCCTCCCTGGCTGGGTGCAGCTTGTCCCTTTACCCTAAAACCATTCCCACAGGCATCGGAACATCTGAATGAAAGAACCTGAACAACTCACTTGAACAATGAATCTGGGCATTTTCTCCAGAAGTTTCTGAATAAGAAAGAAAATATGTCCAAGTGGCCCAGCGACATGGTTCCAATCTATGGTCACAGCCATTCACCTAAAATCAATGTCCACAAGGCAGGGCAGTGGCCAGCTTGGCCTCAGACTAGCTAAGTGACCTCCGCCAAGTCCCTGCCTCTCTTTCAGCCTGATTGGTCATTTATAAAACCAGAGGACTGGAACAAGGGGCCTCCGGGAACCTTCTGGGATGTGAACAAGTGTACCTGGTCCACGACGCTGATATTTAAAACATCACCCCTAAAACAGGTAGTAATTAACCTGGGAGGACCCGACCAGCCATCTCCCCTCCACCTGACCTCTGGGGTACCAGGCCCCCGGGCCACCACCACATCCCGCGGGGCCAGCTCCTGCCCGTCTCTCCCAGTTGGCCCCTCCCCAGGGACTGCACCACCCACCACCTGCAGTGGCCTCCAGAGACCACAACCTTTCGTTTGGTGGGACTTCTATTGACTTTTGAGGGCGACATCAATAGAGCAAAGGGCAAGCTGTGCAACAACTAAGAGAACCTGGGCTGGGAAGTCAGGGAGCCCTGGATTCAAATCCACTGTTGTTCCCCTCCGAGCCTCAGTTTCCCCACTTGCAATACGGTATGCTAATGTCTCCTTCTGGTACGGATGGCTGTAAGAACTGAATGAGAGGAGCTATATAAAGCATTTGGGATTCAATAAACATCGCTTCCTTTTTCCTACGATAGCAACAATAACAACAACATCAAAAAACAATGAGATCATGATTCCTGCAACCCCAAACATTCGTTTCACAGCCAACAACCCAGAATAAACAGAGGCCTCCAAGCGGTTGAAACGCAGCCATGAATATATGAAAAGAATTTGGAGAGAGCGGATATTGACTTTTTTCCCAGGAAGGCCAAGAAGGAGTGGACAATGAGTTAGAACACCTGGGTGTCAGGCCCCCTCTGACACCTGCGCTGTGTGACCTTCATCAAACTGCTTGCCATCTC